GTTCAACGAGTGTTCCTGCAAATCCGAATCATTCGCGACAAGTCGCCCGATGATTTTTGCCAAAGTCGCAACAGCGACTTATGGCGACAAACAGACGCGTGTTACGGAACACATCTCGCGGGCGATTAGGGTTAACGGGACGGTACTTAAGCAAGCACTTACTGATGTATTGCTCCCATCGTGCGTGACGTCGAATCGTCGCCAGACGAACTGGTGAAATCGGCGACGCGGGCCTCATCACATCCGTCATCGTTGCGCGTTTGCAAGAATCTCACTTTCTCTGCGCGAGGAACAACGACTTATGATGGTAATGCGACATCTTGAAGACATGGCCAGGATGACCACCGAATGTCGCTGTCGCGAAAATAAATAAATGGAAAAACACGTAATGTGCCGATTAATATGACCATTAATATGCAAATTCTTCTGGTTGCATCGTGAACTAGATATACAAGTTCTTGTCGATGTAGATACACGAGTGCTTTATTCGCGGCAGCGACTTCCCAGCCATCCTGCGCAACATCCTGCACGATGATTTCGCGCTTTAAATTCTCCTCATATCTAATTGAAATTTGCGATAAGGTTCCCCGAAGTTGCGATAATTTCTTTGTCCTCCGAACGAATTAACTCCGCGCGAATTAACTGCATATCTTTCTCATCGTGTCGTCGACGTTAATTGGATCTTCGAAAATATTATTGCAAGCGGAGAAATGAGACGAGAAGAATGGGAGCGACAGGTGGCGGAGCCGAAAACAGCAAACAGGTGAAAAAGGAAAAAAGGAAGAAAAGAAAAGATCATCGCGCTAAAAATATCCGGCTCGTTATCGACGCGATATCCACCAGCGTCGTCCGGACTCTCCGTAAATCACGCGCGGACTAAATCCGCGACGTTGTGTGTTGTGCTCTAACTGGCCGCGAGGTAAAAATAAACCTCAAATTAGAGCGGAACTAGAGACTCTGCTGGACCGGCGACACCTTAATCCTATTCCAGAACAGCCGAGTTTAATTCTCGAGTATCAAGCGACGAGGAGATGAGCCTCCTCCAACGCATTTCCTTCCTCTTTCCATCTCTCTTTCCACCTCCCTCCCCTTTTCTCTCTTTCTCTCTCTCTCTTTCATCATGACCGTGATCATCATGAGCATCGAGCGTGGATAAAGGCATTAATAATGATAATAATATAATAACAACAATCTACCAATTTTGACGGAGTGAAATACGATCACAAACTGGCGATCATCCACAAACGACAGAAACGAAACGAGACAAGCAAACAACGAAAACTGAACGCGAAAATTGCCTTTGCGAGACGCTCAATAGGATCACACCGCATCATTTCGAGTGGATTACTGTGGTCACCGACTCTCTACATTTCGTCTATTGAAATGACTCAAAAAACAAAATGATAGTCGAGTTACTCGAAGTCAAGTGACTTTTCGCTCAAATAGAATAAATTCTCAATTGTTTTGAAAGAGATTTTGTTTTAAAAATTTAGAGAGCAAATGATGCAGGGGCAGGAAGGTCCAGAAAAGCTGGCAAGGCTCATTAAAAGTCGTTCAACCAATTGAATTTTCACTTCTGAAAGACATTTTGTAAAAAATCCGAAATTGAAGAATGAATCGGAATGACGAAGTCGCTTCCTCAAAATAATCAACAACTTACGATGCACATTTGTAACATTGCGCATAATTGAAAAATTCGTCTGGAATTAGGGTTACAAAATGTTGAGGCTATTATGCCGAATTGTGTGTACTCCATCGCGTTACTCAAATTCATCCCGGTCAAATTCACCCATACGATATATCTTCACTATCACTTCGGACGAATTCGTTCATTCGTTCGTCGACTGAGACCTCTCAGTCCAGGAAATCTCGAGAAACTAGAGAGCGGTCAAAAGGTTATTCGCGAGTATAAGATGAAGAGGATCGATGAGAGCGTCGCGCCGCGTCGCGTCGTCACACGACCTGCACACGTTTACGAACCGAACACGTGGATCGATGAGCACGTGGCGCGGATGTTGTCCGGGATTCGTCAAGAGTCGCGGCTTGGAGATGATCGATCAGCTCCGAATATCTGGCGGTACCAGACGGGACTGGCACCACGTGCTGTTGTTGCCGCCGCCGCCGCCACCACCGCCGCCGCCGCGGTAGCTGCACTTGCGAAATCTCTGTTACGTGAACTATTACCCTGCCCCTGCCCGTGCCCGCGTCCCTCGCCGACGATCCCCTTTTAATATAGGCAGCTCGTGGACTGTTTATCGCAAATGACGAGATGTCGAGAGGTCCGCTCATTCGATAAATCTTCACCTCCGCACAGTCGCGAATTGCGCAGATACACACTAATCGAATTGTCGCACATACGCACACACGTTTATCCGATTATCGACGAAATACATACGAGACGAAAAATCCCAGCACGAAGCACCCGTTGCGATATTTTCGTGATATGACATAAAACTGGACTCGACTCTCTCTCTCGTCTGACAAAACCGAAAAGCAAGTTACGTGAATAACGAGCTAAATATCCATTCTAATATCTAACAACAGACCTTCCCTCTCTCTCTAAATTTCAAAATTTGCTTTTTATCTTTGATTCTTCTCAAAAAATATCGATAAGTCGTGTTTCCTCGAGGTATGCAGATATGGAAAACGACAACGCGATACCACAGTCGTCAGCGATATGTGAAGGGAACTCGCATTGATTCTTCGGCACGTCGATTTCTGTTTCTTCTTTTTCTAGCGGTTACTCGGTCAACCGATCGAAGGTATCTAAACCGGCCTTTATCGCGCCTTCCTACATATTTGCGCAGCGTAAGCGGGCGTAGGAAGTGGAAACACGCGAGGCTGACCTCATATGGAGGTGCGGATCCCCCGAGGACCGATCGAGGAAGAGGAGATGCCTACGCGCGCGTTCGTGTTCACCTTGAATTCGTATACCATTCGATCGTCGGAGAATGCGCAACGATGACGTAGTAAATTCGAGCTTGTATCGCGAATTAATTGCGCGTGTAATCGGTAATCAGAGATCGGAGGACGAAAGGATCGTCACATCCTCTAGGTCGATCATGAATCTCACCATCCAATGGTCTCTTCAAAGTTTCTGCTTTTCATGACTTCACGCCAGACAAAAATATTCATAACTGACCTTGCGCTGGTTGAACCATCCATTATAAACTAATTATCATGTCTAGCTTCAAATGAAGCTTTTGCTATGTCATTGGACATATTGTAATAAAAATTATGTTAAAATTATATTTCATTTTACGACGTTTTCTGCAAAGCTGGACTATAATTGGAATTGTAATTGAAGTTACTATAGAAACAATAAATTTTTGACGATTTACCTGGTATACAATATAAAAAACGTTCAAGTAATTACAATAATTTTGTAACAGAAAGTCAAACGTATACAATATTATGAAATAAATATACAGTAATTTCGTTCATAACTCTGTATGATCCAACATTACAGAAATTTTCTTATAATTCTTACTATTTTTTCCATGTATGAAGAATGAACAGATAATTACTACGAAATTCCTCGGTTACAAAATTCTCCAGTAATTTTTACTATAAAATTCTGTCTGTGTGGTATGCTCATAGAACACATTTTTTTATATTTTGGATCATTGACGTCCCATTTATATCTTATTTACATTCTATTGATGACGATATGCGATAAAAAGCTAACTTACATCCGGGAGGCGAGCCCTTCTTCATAGTGATCCTGTAAGGCTGATAATTGTCGCCTGGTTCGACTTTGCCGTACATTGTCCGATCCATGGCCATCTTTCTCTATTCACCACGCGGACGCGTACACACACACACACACATGCACAATGAACACACGTACACTCCGCCGCGAGAAATTGGATGCGCGTGCGTACGCGTGCGTGCGTGCACGTGTTCACTCACGTGGCGATCGTGGGGCAAACGATGGAGTTGGTGACATAAGCCCTACCAAGGAAGTAATTGCGGTTCTGCGTTGCGTGACGGCGAATTGACGCTAATTTAACAAGTACGGTGCAATGAAAGAAGACGAAACGGTTCAATTTTTCACCGCGCGTTCACCGAATCACAGACATCATTCTGTCAAATTAATTTTGTAAACAGAACAGAGAGGAAATATTTCATTCACCTTTTATCGAATCTTGAACACAATTAGAAGCTACAGAAAATGTAATAAATGCGCAAAACGAATATGCTGAAATAGGTATGAGAGGAAAAGGACGAAAACAGGGCTAATAGCAGTTAAAATTACATTCTGCGAGAATCGTATCTCGTTGATTCGTAAAGATGTCTGGTGAAAATAAACGTCTCGTTATTCATCAGAGGGTAATGCACTCTAGAATATAGAATCGCGGACACGAGGAAGGAAACGGAAGAAATGACGTGTCTCGGAGTACCGCGCTGAGCGAAATGATTTACTCGACAGTTCAACGGAAGAGGTTGACCCTTAACTGTGTTAGTGAACTCAGGTTCAGACAGACTACACGGCGGCTATTTTGGATTACTAATTTTAACAACGTATAAGCTTCATTCGAACCGTGTTGTAAAGCTCCTTGCTAGGAGTAAGTCACAAATCAAGGTGACAAATCAGACTGCGAATTACGCGAATCTATTCGACAAATATCATTTGGTACGAACGTCTCGCAGAAAGAAGTTAATTGACTTTGCAGACCTTGCTCACTTCACCAGCTCAATTTTAAGGACAATAATTAATCTCACCGCGAACTTCCTGCCGTAAGTTCCGGAAAAATTCAGCAGTTTCTCCCGAACGGCACGGCAGCAACAATTTATCCGCGTGTTGCAACGAGAACGGCGTCACGATGTTCCCCGAAAACACGAGTGGCCGAAACGTGCATGCGTCGATGCGATTTTTCCCGAGCACGGATTGGCAAATGCGGAAACGCGCACGGAAAATCTGTCGCCGACCGCACGATTACACGCGCACTCTTTGGCGACGAAGAACAGCTCGAGAGTCGGCGAATAAGAGTAGTTGAAACGCACGCGAGTGTATTTCCGGCGCTCACCCGCGCCTAGTGTCACAGAGTGCTCTCTTTCGGTCTCTTTCGCCCTGGCCGCTGTCTCCGCTCTCGGAGAAAGAGACACGTCGAGCAACGTTGTGGAGAAAAGAGAGAGAGCTGTGAATTTAGAGGGATTAGAGAGTCTATGGGAGAGAGGTAGAAGCAAGTGCAGAATAGAATAGAATAGAATAGAGAGAATGAGGGAGAAAGAGAGAAGAAAGCGTCTATTATAGCCGTAGGGTAACACCTCCCCTATTCGTTTCTATCTTCATTCATTATAATTTTTTACATTTGTTTACATATATTTTCTAAGAATGTATACAAAAGCACACATATGGTGATAAATGAACGTACACGCAAAAATTTGCAAAAATAGCAACAAAAGAAATAGATGAAACAAAAGCAGAGGAAAAGTAGGAAAGACAATGAAATGGCACAGCAAAGAATACCAAAAAAGATATGGATAAATGGATAGACAAACATACGAGAGCCAAATACACGAAGGATTTTCTAGTAATAACGATATTAATAAATAAAATAAGAAAAAAAAGAATTGAATATAAGACTGGAATGGAGTACAAAATGTCGTCTGTAAGAAATATTGAAACCATGTATGTTAATCGTTGCTATCGTTATCAGGGTTATCGTGTTATCAATGCGAAAATCCACCAACCGCTAAATATCAGCACGTATTACCATATGCTACGTGTTGCAAACTTCTAATATAAATTATCATATTATATATGTAAATAATTAAAGAAATCTTGTTTGGAAAAATTAGATCTAAACAGTCCAAGATATAGGACGAAGAGTAACATTTGTGAAACGTTGCGAGGAACGATTTCAATTAAAATCCGCGAATGATCGCAACGCGTACACCAAGATTGGACGGTGTCACGAATCCATGATATAATTAAAAGAGATGATGATATCGCGACTAACGGGATATCGCAGTCAACTGGAAATGCAAAACAATGGGCAAAGTGCCAAGAAATGCCGTCCACACCTCGATACATAGTGTGTCTCTTATATTATTATGTCGATGCACGGTTTATATAATAAAAAAAAAATATAATCTCATCCTTGATGAAATCCTTTCATACATGACTCAAGAAAATTCTTCTAAACCAAATGGAAAATATACTAAAAAAGAATTCTAGTTATAAAGTGCTATTTCCTATAATTTCATATTCTAAGCGAAAACTTTTATCGAAAGGGTACTCCTTTTGTAATGAAGAGAAATTTTGTGTTCAGTTTGATGAATTCTACCCGCACAAAACAGGTAAGTCATGAATCATCAGACATCCTGTATAAAAGGATGTTATTTTTTTTGATACACCAACTCTCCAGAAAGACAATAATCAGTTGGTTATTGTCTTTCGATTACTTCAAAATAATTGGGTATTACACACACGCGAAGCTTCCCGGCGAAATTCATCCGATCGTTAGAACCTTTTTCGACACACCACACCTCGATCTCACTTTCAGTCTACGGATGGTAAAACGTTTGCTCTCTCTTCGCGAGTCCACCGAGCGGCACCATAACGAGTGCTCGACGTGACAAACTAATGTACAGTTCGCATAACACTGATGCAACGGCGAGGCCATACGCCATACGGGTTGAGATAATGGTTGTTATTGCCCGTGCCCCTCCAGCTTTTCCCGCGGCTTTCCTCCCCGCATCGTCGCGATACGATTTAGCACGCGATCATTTTATCCGCGGATTTGTACACGAAGACTCGCGGCAACTCTCGTTTAATTAGTGGGAAGAGCAGTCGCCGCACAGTGGTGCCAAGACGGACAAGATCTTAACTTTTCAAGATGTATCTCTAGATGTTTAACTATATTTGCATACACGCGCAATATTAAATGCATGTTTACCTTGACGGTAGACATCGCCGTCTGTAGCTCATCCGTCATATCATGCGTGACCATTTACAAATCTTCTACAATTAATATCTCGATCATTATTGCGATTTTCACAAAACGGTATTGGTATTTCTTATTCGACCTTAATCTGAAAAATTGTGAGATTGAGCTGGAACACCCTGTATATGTATATACATATAAGGCGAAAGCACGCGATTCGTTTATCGATTATATGTTTACGATAGCTTATATCGATAACGTCGATAATGCTTATTGATAAGCGGGAAATGGTTGTAAAATAGTTGTAATTCAGAGTTCTGAACGAGCGAGAATATAACTGTTCATTCATTCATTCATTCATTGCAATGAGCAACTAGACTGTTTAATGTAAAAATATCTGGACACATTTCTAGATTTTCATATTGTTTTGGTCTTTAAATACGGGAATATTGGGACTTTCAAAAGGCAAAACAGTATTGAGCAGGACGAACATTAGTCAATTTTCTTCAAGATCTTTTTCTCAGCAAACGCAAACAAAAACATATCTCGAAGTATCAATATTTTCGATAAAAGTGTAGTGATGTATCGATACTCCGATACATTCCATCTTCGCTCGTTTGACAGACAGAAATGAAAACACGTCTCCAAAAGCGTTAATATTTCCAGTAAACGCGTCGCGATATCGATACTCTAACAAATAATCTTCATCGTCTCTATACGCAAATGTGTCTCAAAGTATCGATACTTTAAGATACTTTCGACGCGAAAGAATAACGGTATCGATACTCAAATTCCAGCAGCCGTGTGCTCGACGGACAAAAGTGAAAACACGTCCCAAGACGTTGATGCTTTCGGTGAATGCGTCTAGGTATCGATACTACGATACATTTCAATATCTCTGCACTTGACAGATGCGACGAACGAGAACGCATCTTGAAGCGTCGATACCTCCAGCGTGAAAGCGTAACGGTATCGATACTCCAAGCGCATTCCAGCATCTCTATGATTTTGACAGCTGCTCCCGATAAAAATACGCGTCGGAGCACTGATATCCCCGACGTCCTATGCTCGTTTCGACGATATCGACAAACGCCACCGATAAGTAAATCCCGACGTGTCGGAACGCTTGACAGACAGGAATTTGGAGGTTAGCTCTCCGTGACGCGTCTATGTTTTGGCACGTTTACTCACCCAAATCATCCATGATGTGAGTGTTTTCACAACGCACAGGATTCCAGCAACACGCGGCCGCGATCAGCCAGAATCACGTCGTCAGGATCACGAAGAAGCGCGAGACGCGCTTGATTCTCGCTCACCAACTCGTCCTGTGCTGGACGACTCCGCTTTAGTTCACACGCACGCTCGCTCTCGTTCACTCACTCGCCGCCGACCATCAAACATGGAGGCTCCGGCCTGATTCAGCCTCTTCCATTAGCAATCGCCCTGTGCTATACCGAGCTCCTAAACATGAACAAACACACTGTATCTCTCCGCAAAAGGACGAGTACAATAATTGAATGCCTTAACGAAGATTCATTGAAATGAATCTTCGTAATCTCGTAGTACAAAATATATATGCACACGTGTGCATGTGTACAGGTATATGTATACACGCATACACACACACATTTTTGTTTTTTATGTTATATATCAATAAAAACGATTAAAATTTATGTTCAACATTGACTATAAGATATAAAAAATCTTTGCTAATATAGAAGAGATAGAAAATTAAAAAGAAAACTTTCTGAAAAACAATGGAAAGAATTACACGATTATAACCTACATTGTTTATTCTTAGATTTTTTTTATATAGATCATGTAAAGTCAGGGAACCTAGCAATAGAATGGTATAAATACAGATATATTTTCATTTGTCCATAAATTATAAATATATAACTAAGAAACTATATTCAATATTTACATATAATTTGTTAAAACGTGAAGGAAGAGAAATCTCCGTAAGCTTGCGTTGAGATTCTCTTCTTCTTCGCAACAGACTCCGCGTTTGAATCCCGTTTGTCCGCCCTGTGAAAAGTCACTTTTCTATTACAAACAGATCACACGAATAAATGATAAAATCCTACGAATGAATGGCACAATTAAACAGGAATCTTACTTTTCCGGCTCCAGCTTCACATATTTTCCTATGCCCGATCGGTAAACTTTCTGGGCTTCATTCTTGTCGGTTTTGTCTGCCGCATTTTTCTGATTCGCCTCTTGTGCCAGTCGTTCCATCTCGGCAGCACGTTCCGATGCAAGCTGTTCATCGGCTTCTTGGAAGGGATTCACGAAGACTTGAACGGCTTGCAGAACTATATCCTCGATCGGCCGATCTTTGTTGTCTACCTCCACCTTTTCGATCGCGTTCAACGTCTCAAAACCACCGACGATCTTTCCGAAGACGGTGTGTTTGCGATCCAGGTGTTTACACGAACGAAACGTAATGAAACTAAAACAATACAACGATAACGTAACGATGAAGAAAACGAGACATGATGTGTATCGAGATCGTGGGTCTGTTTTCTGTTCCTACACTGCTGAACTGGTGCAATAAGTTAGAGTGAGAGTATATTTTTTCTCCCTTTTATTGCATCAGTTCAGCACTGCAGGAACAAAAACAAACCTAATAATTTTGAACTTACAATTGGGATCCGTTGGTGTTCGGACCCGAATTTGCCATGGACAGGATGCCTCTACCTAGGTGAGATAGAACCGGCTTGAATTCATCCTCGAACGGCTTACCCCAAATCGACTCGCCGCCGTTACCCGTATTGGTCGGATCGCCGCCTTGAATCTACAGTAGAAAGACAAAATTGACTGTAACATTTCATATAATAAAGAAAAATATAATTTCGTAAAAGATATATAAAGTGTGATCTTGGAAACATTCGTCTTAAAGTTAAATATACTTGCCATAAAATTTCGTATCGACCTGTGGAACTTCGTGCCATTATAGTAACCATTTTCACTGTGTTTGATGAAGTTCTCACAGGTTTTCGGAACCAAATCGCAAAACAATTCCAGATTCAATGCTCCGAAATTCGTGAATAGTCTCACGTATCCTGAAATAAAGAGATTCCGATCGTAGATCCAAGCATATATGATTTTAATGCATATGTAACATTAAGTGTTAAGTGTTCTATTTATTTTCGAAGAACTTCCTGAACTGATGTACACTGTTGCAATAAATTAGGGAAAAACAAGTATATTTTGTTTTACTCTAAACTGTTATATCAGTGTACATCAGTTTAACAAGTTCTTCGAAAAAAACAGATCTATTATAACGCAATACATACGTACCTTTCTTCTTAACTCTCTCGTATCGCACTAGATCTTCCGCAATTACAGCTGCTTGATGAGTTGTCTCCGCTGGCATCACCGTTGAAGTGAATCCAGCAGCTACCGCGCCAGTAGAATAGTGTGCCTGCATTCAAAGTAACAAAATTACTTCCAGTATAAACGAGACAAAAAAAAACTATCAATATATAAAATTATGTACAAACCGCATTAAACTTGTCAGCCTTCTGCTTGGAGAATGTGTCTTCTGTGTTGCTTTTTGCTGGCTTGTACTCTCTTTCAAGCTCTTCCAAAATTTCTTTAGTCTCTGTCGAAACTGTTTTCAACTTTGCATTCGGATTATTTCGCTCTCTTATCGTTTCTGCAAAGTATTCATTTATGTGTACAATTGTTTACAATTTATAATTACTTTATTTACAATATGTGTAATTTATTTATATGTACTTCCAGAAGAAAATCACAGAAATAATCTTTTTTCTCAGATAAATTAAAACTTACCTTCATCTTCCATTCTTATGTTATTCTTAATATGATGGAATGTGGACAAATTGAATTTCATCGCATCGGTTGGATCCTGAATTGTAATAATATCTTTTCGTTCAAATGGTTGGTCATTTATCAAATCTTTCCAATTTGCAGCTTTTATATTCAACTGTTCAACAGCCTGGAAAAACAATTTTATGTAAATAGAATAGCATGTAATATAAGTAGAACATAAAACGACAATGAAATGAAAAAGGTTAATCAATAAAAATAAAAATATTTTGTATATATATATATATATATATATATGTATACACACACACATATACCTCATAAGAGAATACATTTCCTGTGGTCTTGATAGCGACAATATGTGAATGCTTTGTGAACAATTTGTAGAGAACAGGGCACTGATATTCATCCTGTACATTTTTATGAAAATTTAGTTTGATAAGACTCTTTGCATCCAATGGTTTGCTTGTTACAGGATTGTGCTTATATCGTTTTAAATATTCTAGAATAGCCTCTAACTCAAAAACATTGCCATGTGCATCACAGTAGGGATGTTCAAAAGGTTGTAGAGTCAAACAACAATGGTTGAAAGGTAAACGTCTAAATGTTTTTTCTTCACTTGTTTCCAAAGTTCCCGACTTTCTTCCACCATACAATGTTGACCATTCTGTATATGTTAAATACCTGAAGAAATTCCCAAGATCATAATGTGGTTAAAAATTGAATAGAATGTTCTCATAGTCAAGATATAATAAAATTATATATAGAAGTCCAAAAAATCTATTTTAACAATATTAAGTCACAAAATATTCAATAGATATATACATTATTCCAAGCAAAATAATACTACACTTACATTTTATCCTTCTGATGCTGGCGTTTCCCCATCTTGAAAAATCTTTTAAATACCTTTAATGGAAAAAATATTGTTAGACATCTCCAAGTGACTACTGTAGCAAGTTAAATTATAAGGTTAAGTTGTCGTAACGTCTACGAAATATGTTAAAACTACGAAAACACACAATGATCGCGAAGAAGATCGCGATATGAAATAAATTATATTCAGAGGCTGAATAAAAACTAAATTGTTCCACAAAAATTAAATTAAACAATTAAACTATCTATAACCTCTAAATCGTACGTCATATAGAAAAGTGACACAGTATAGAAAATATAACTTTCTAAAGATAAAATTTCAGTAAAATAAAAAAAAATATATATATATATCTACAGACGTATTTCAACTACAGATCAGAAGAAATACCTTTTTCTTTTCGTCTTATTATTAAAGTGACCAGATTTCCCAGCCCTGAATTCGGAACACTTCATAAATGTGTAAAGCAGGGGGAGGGGGATAAAAAGATTCGAAAATTATTTGACAATCATTGAAAATGATGACAAATCAGTGTTCCGAAGAGCACTCGAAAAAATTCGGGACAATGGGTGAAAAATCAGGACTGTCCCGAAAAAATCGGAACGTCTGGTCACCTTAGTTATGTGTCGAGAAGGGAGGAGATTACTCCGTAATAATGTACTTACGATATGTCCTGACGACCGTACGTCGTTGTTTTCGGCGCTCTAATTATACTTATTTCTGCAATAAACTCAGGACACAAGCGAAAGACGTGTGGAATACGGAATGCTGTGTCCAGGCAGTTGCTCGGCATGAAAAAATGCGCAGATGCGCGCGCTGTCAATCACGTACACCAAAAGTTTATTAGCGCGTCGAAAGTGCCAAAAGTGCATGAATGTGAACGCGACCAGCTGGCTGGGGGCGCCACACCTTTTATGGCTGTGTGTTCGCTTTGAGCGTCACGTGTTATAAGTGCCCAAAGCGAACGCACCCTATGTCGCATGTGCGCTCTCTGTTTTGGCAGAAAATTCGAGGGAGAGTTTTCATTGGTACGGCATGATAGGTTATTTAAATTTTGATTTTCAAGCAGATATTTTTGTAGAACGTTGAAAAATGTCGAAGATGGCAAGAATGACAATGAAAACCAAAAAAGTAGCGGAAAAGATTGATCATTCGTCAAAATTACGCACAGATGTTTGTGCAGGTATGGCAACACCTGCACCACCGCTTGGACCTCAGCTCGGACAGGTTAGAATATTTTCATGTTATTCTTACCGCAAAATTGACCAGTGGAATACGTTTCCGAAGATGATTCTTACGTTGTAAAGATCCAATGTTGTCATTTTTAGGATTTTTATAAATTTTGTTGGTAATAATCCTATGAATGAATAAAGTGTTTATCACAACTCATTGATAAAACGTAATATTTTGGGGATAGAAAAAAAGAATAGAACGTAAACGCGTGCACATTGTAATAGAATTCTCAGTGCATGATATATAACTTTCTCTATTTTCAGAGGAATATTAACATTGCAAATTTCTGCAAAGAATTTAATCAGAGAACAGCCAATATCAAAGAAGGTATTCCTTTGCCATGCAGAGTCAAAGTGCATTCAGATAGAACTTTTGATTTAGTAATCCATAAACCACCAGCAACATACTATTTAAAGCAAGCAGCTGGTATACAGAAAGGAAGAACATTAAAAGGTAAATATATAAATTTTTACTTAAAATTTAACAAGCTTTTACTTTTTTATCCAAGAGAAAAAATAGTATGAGAAATGAGCTGTTTTAACTTAATCAGATATCGTCATGTTCACAAATCTTATATGAAAAAAATAAATGTTTTTTTTGGATATCGTTCTCTTTTCGCTTGCATCTTTAATATACAGTAAAGATAAAATAAGAAAATTTTAGGTGACATAGCTGGTAAGATCACATTAAAACATGTGTATGAAATTGCTAAGATTAAATCGGAGGATCCACCTATGGCATTGTTGTCATTGGAGGACATCTGTAAAATGATGATCGGCATTGCTCGTTCATGCGGCATCGAAGTTGTAGAGAAGATAGATCCAGTCGAGTATGCTCAGTTCCTAGAAGAGAGAGGAAAGATCCTCGAGAAGTTTTACGAGGAACTTCGAGTAGCCCGAGAGAGCAAAATGCTCAGAACTAATACGCAAGCATAAATGCACATCAACTTTATGCTATGTTGTTATTGTATATATATATATTTAGTAAAAATGAGAACACAAATGCATTTCACCTTTTTGTGTATTATTTGTCACAAATAACAAAAATCGTATTATTTGTCACAAATAACAAAAGTCGTATTATTTGTCACAAATAACAAAAGTCGTATTATTTGTCACAAATAACAAAAGTGATAACAAAATTCTTAATCAAGTTTATACAATGAAATCTTCATGATCATTCCTGTAATTATCATTGCTTTCATTCAATAAGTAGAGTAAAACAACTAATGAATCAAATAAACAACCAAGAAAACGCTTTACAAATTCTTGATTGATGACATCAGAGGCAAAAAAAATATACGATAAAAATTCTTGTAAAATACATTGAAATAAAAAGATATATCTATAAAATGATGTCATATTTTTAGTTATTTAATGATTGTTAGAATAAAAGAAAAGTATTTGGACTTATTTTACGTATTTGCTTGTGACTGATTTTATAGATATTTTTATTTTACATTATTTTATTTTTCAAGAATTTTTTTGCTTCTGACATAAATCGAGAGCTAACAGCCTTAACCTAGAATCCTACACAAAAAAGTTACATAACTTTAAACATCGGTAAATCCAGTCTATTTTCATTTGCTCAATTTCCAAAAAAATTATCAAAATTCTGTCCTCTTTTTTTTCTTTAATCGCAATGTAGAAAACATCGAGGAATATGAATTTATTAGTATTTTTGCGATTTAATGAAGTTAAAAACGTAGTAATGAAACATTATAATGAAAAAATAAAACATGTTTTTAAGAATAGTAATGTTTAAAAAGTTTACCTAATTAAAAATAAAAACCTGTTTACCTAGACAACCTAGACAAGAGCTTTCGTTAAAACTGATAGAATTCATTCGTCCAAAGAGAATTGACTGTGTTGTGCAGGTTGAAGTGTAGCAGGCCCAGATATACATAGTAGAGAGACAGCTTGAAGAGTGTCCAGTGCTCCAATAACAACACTCGGTACCTGTCCCACGTACTCGAGCATTGCCTCAGCTTCTCGCCGTACACGGAGCGCACGCAGCACCTGGACATCTCCATCATCGCGGACATTCTGGCCTGAGTGTGCAATGAGTGCTCGATACCACGCATTAGGTCGTTGGTTTTGAGTATCAGCAGCATCTGCCGATTCACGCGGTCCAACACGGTGCTGATTTTCGGCAGGAGATTTGGAATCTCTCTTTGGAATTGGTCCTTCTCCGTTAGGTCATATTTGGTCTTACGCATGCCGGTCCTCATAATAGTGTCCCACGTTCTGCCCGACACCATGCAAGCTAGCAGGCCATAGTAGTCGTCAATGCCGAGTCGCGTAGAGTACGTCTTTATCGTCGCCAGGTCGCCGTCTAAGATGGCCAGCCATAATTTAGAATAGTTCCAGCGAAATTCGTCCGACAGATCAGCGTACAGACCGTGATCCAATAATGCGATCTCCGCTTCGGAATCGCGGTTGCGCACTAAAATGTTGCCGGGATGCGGGTCGGAATGCACGAAACCGTCGATGAAAATCATATGGCTGTAAAGACGACCGAGCTTGCTGCTCACCTCATACGGGTTCACACGATGCGCGTGCATGTATTCGAGATCGTTCACCTGACCGCCCTCCAGAAATTCCATCGTGAGAACGCGCGACGTCGTGATGTCCCAGTATACCTTCGGCACTCGCAACCATCGATAACTGGCGAAGAGTCGGCTCGCCTTCTCGGCATTTTTACCTTCATGACTGAAATCCAGCTCCTGGGGGATGTTTTTCTTCGTCTCGTCCACAAGCCAGTCAAATTTAAAATCCGGGAACACGAGCGATGTTATCTTCACCAATGCTGACATTGTCTTGATGTCGACGTAGGAGTTGCTCTTGACGGCGCGATGCTGAACCTTTACAGCTACTATGTCACCGTTCTTCAATACTGCTTTATGTACTTGCGCGAGACTAGCAGTGCCCACGGGTTCTGGGTCGATGCTTTGGAATATCTCATATGGGTCTTTCTTGAAGTCCTCCCTGATCACAGTCAGCACATCTTTGAACGAAGACTGCGGTGCTGAACTGTGCAGTACACGCAAAGTCTGCACATATTCCTGAGGTAGTAGATAATCTAATGCACCCACATGCTGGCCGACTTTGATGTAGACTCCTTTGTTGACACAACAGAGCTCTAACAATTTCTGTGCTCCGTACTTGTGAACATCTGATTTCAGTTGCAGATACTCCGCTGATAACTTGTCTAATTTCTTGCTGTGCAATTCTTTCTGATAATGTCGACCTATTTCAAATACTGTGACTGCAGCTCGGCCTAGTCGTACGATTCCAATGGATCCAATATCGTATTTGTTAACTCTGAGAGATGCCAGAGTACCCAGTCCGACTGTGCCAATGGCAACAATTTTGAGTAGCTTTCTGGATGTAAACATTGTCATCTGCAATTAAACATTGACACCAAACTCGCAGTTTTGAAGGGTATCATAATAACTTTATATTTTCAGTCAAAAAGACATGATAAATTCTACTACAATCTCTCTCTTTCTCTCTCTCTAGAGATTGAATATTACACACATAATGAACAAAATAATATATAATAAACATACTCACCTAATAAAAACTACAAAGTAACAGTTATAAAAGTTCACATAAATTCGTGTTGTACGAAAACTACGTCGTAACATCGGAACGTACGGTCGAGCGGTACAACTGATTCTACTCGAGGTACCAACTAACCTCATTAAGTTGACACAATTTCAACGAGTTTCATTATCGATTCTGTATTGATTACCAGCGTCTGAAATGGTGAAATATACGGTATTTTCATTAACAGTAGCCGGATTATGTATTAATAAATAGGCACGACGATGATGGTCAGCCAGGTATTCGTTTGGATTGCGTCTTCTGCACTTTCATGTCTTCCTTTCTCCCTTTCACTAACCCGCGAGTATATACCTATTGCACCGTAAATACAGAAGGTGTAACATAGTGCAACTTTAAATGAATAGGCTATATGAACCACGTGGAGCAAGTCATTACGAAATGAAATAATTTATGATAACATACTGAAAAATTATTTCAAAAGCTAAATGTATATCTGACTCAAAAAAAGGATAGCTTCAATCGTGGTAAGTAGAAACTTATTACTGCAACATAAATTCAAGATGTTCCATTTTTACTAAAAAAAAAACATAGGCTATAAAAGTATTATTGAAAACAAATATCAAAAGAAAGAAATTGAAAAAAAGTACCCCAGATTTATTCTTCATTATTAATTATCACAGCACCAAAATACAACAGTTCTATCAAATAAGAATAAATTAACAGCATTTGTCAATTCAAGAATTTTTTTATATCATGTTATAAAAAAGTGACTGTTACTTGGCAAAATTTATATATAAAATATATTAAAATATATTAAAATATATATTCACTGTATAAAGTGTACTAGTTATTTTAATAAGAATCTGTTATTTTGTATCATTATGTTTTGTCAAAAATTTTCTATTGATGTGTATTCAATACAAATAGAAAATTACAAAATATACAAGTCACTTCATGGAATCATTTTAATATTACAATAGTGGATATAATGTACAATGTGCTTACCAAATTAATCATTTAACAGACCCTTCCTCCAGCTTGATTTATTAACATTTTCTAAAGACAAAAGTGCAAAGTTATTAGCATCGACGCGAGAAATACACATTTTTATCTCAAGAAATGTATTACACTACAATCTCTTTATGTGTGCGTTACCTTGACCTGCGGAATAGCATTCACCACCTGCAACCCTAGACTCCTAGCTAGAACAATGGGAGCCGCAGTGCCTTGGTACAGACGATGAAGCGCGTCGATAGTGAACATCGTCGGCGTGTTGTGACGTTGCCTCTGTGTCTCGTATTGCTGCAAGTATTGCTCCTCGTTCAGCAGACAGCCATTCACAGTAGCTTCAGCGAGAATTTTCGTCAGTGCTGTCACATCGCCGAAGCCTAGATTCACACCTTGGCCAGCCATCGGGTGAACTCGATGTGCAGCATCACTTGAACATGAAAACCAACCGTCAAATGTACGTTCGCTATTTGCAATTGCAATAAAATGTATGTATCTTCTACCAAATTGCATGAAGCTCAGTATTTGATACAAATATAACAGAAATATTATTATGAACAGAAATATATATTTCATAATATTATTATGAAATATTAATATAACAGAAATATATATATTTTATGATACATAATATGATATCAAATATGATAAAAATTGGTAAAACATCACAGTATTGTTTTTTTTTCTCATTTCACTTGATCTTATTTTACTTGAAGCTATGCTACTTGTGTGATATAAATAAATATAATAGAAATATTTATGATATATAGTGATATATCAAGTATGATAACTAAATATGATAAAAATTTGTAAAGATATCGTAGTATCCTTTTTCTTATTTCATTTGTTTTAAAATGAGAGATTCTTTTACCCGACCAGCACCGCGCCCGAATGAATGTAGGATGTTGCGTGGCCGAATCCCAAAGGAAACGCCGCTCGCGATCCCTCAACGATCGACGCCACGGAAGGCGGCAGTTGTCTCTGCGCACCGGTCTGTAGAGATAAAGTCTGGAGCAGCTGGCGAAGTGCTGTCATGCCGCTCTCGACGATATTGTTTTTCGGATAGATTTTCCATAGCGCTTCGTTTATCTTGTCGACGAACTCCTCCTCCGGCATTTTCAACAGTTCCTTCGCTTTGTTCGTCGTGACGGACCACACAAGCGAGCTGAGAGAATCTGTCAACTGTTCGAAAATCCTGACTTTGTTATCGCGAGATGTTGAATATTAATTTTCATCCTTCCCTCGAATCAAACTGAAAAGCTTGATCGACGTACTCAATGTCGGACATTATCGAGAAGGGATAGATGAAAGTTGATAATTATAAGAATTCGTGGCCAATTACCGGAAGTAACGCGATCGGCCCAGTCGGTAGAAACCTCTGCCAAGCGACGATATTCTCCGTGGGCTGAAGTCAAATGATTTAAGAATGTGTTATAAATGAAGTCAAATGGTTTGAGAATGTGTTACAAATTCCATTGCACAGTATCTCTTCCAAGAAAACATTACCTCGGATAGTTTAAGTGTTGCGACAATGCCAAATTGTTCGTACTGCCAATTCAGGTACATCACACCCATCGCTTTCCGCACCAGTGAATTAGCACCGTCGGCGCCCACCTGCAACGTGTTTTAACTTTGTTTGCTTTTAATTCGTACAGCGGACGTAGCCGCGTCTTTCTAAAATTATAAGCGTCGTCATGAGTGAAATATCATTTTTGCTAGAATAATCCGGAGAGATAATCTACGGCGATCTATATATCGATTTGTAATCACGTTTAATTTACAGCCTGCACGAAAATAACTTCAATTCTGTTCCACATTTTGACAAGAATATCAGAGATCGTTTGCACTCAGTTGTTAACATTTTGTACTCGTCTCTTGCACATAAAGTTGTAGATATTATCTTATAAAAAGTAATTACGTTTGCGAGCATATTTCAATATAACGTTAATATTTGTATACACATACATGTACAAACGCGTATGTTGATATATAAATTATTTTATATTTTTATTATGAAATAATGATCTAATATCATTATTTATTCACTTTCTATCTCTTTAGCTCTGAGAGTTGTTCAATTATGAAAACGGATCATTTGTCAAAAAATATTTTCGCCTCTTTCCAGTTAAGATTGCAGTTTTAAAAGGGAAATAGGGAAAAAGCATGAATGTAATTCTTTCGACGAAGAACGTCGTTATCGGTTGACACATTCCGTTGAATATGTGTGTGTGAAGTCCGGAACCGGACGATAAGACGATGATCATCCGGCATTCCTTTTGTAGGAAGAGCAATTGCGGTCGGGGAATTTCTTCTTTTTTGCCTCTGCCAGTGAAACTTATCGGAGTCACGAAAGAGTAAAGGAAGCACAGAGAGAAAGAGAGAGAGAAAGCCGACGAGAGCAATGGGAGCTAAATATATGCCGACGCTATTTTATAAACACCAGAGAACACATGTGGGTATCACGGGATACACAGAGCCAGAATAGTCGGCTAAGCTAGTGTATGGCGAGCGAGTGCGGACGATGCGCGCGTGCCAAGAAGTGTCATTAATTTCCTGGACGCCGAGAGTCTTTCATCAAACCGATCTAACGACATGCCCGCTGTGTAAATCACTATCTCATACTGTCTCAGCGATTAACTAAGAAAACTATAACGAACTAGTCTAACGAAAGAAATCCAACGTTGCGCGTGTGTGAATTAATTGTCGCAATACGTAACGGCAACAAAGTGGTGTTAAATGGTACCAAATGACTGATTCAGTGAAAAATGTATGTAATCAATTAATTAAACTCGGAACATTTCTTTGGAAATAGCGATCGACTATGTCAATTCTCAGCAAAAAGAACTTCTTCGCAAGACTGTCGGGCAGTCGCCTGACACGAGAGGCGCCGATGATGGAGGCTGCCAATAGAACACCGTCCATAGTGATCAATAGCGAGGTCGGTGAAAGAAACGATGATAATCGATCGCCGATAATCGTTGACGTTTCCTTAACATTTGTACTGAAATTTAGGAAGGTCATGAGGATATCTGGATGGACGAGGTGGACCACGGTAGTATCTCCTCCGAAGAAAGCTCGGAGTCCGTCACGTGTCACATACGATCGGCGCCGATGACGCAGGAGCAACCTTGGAGCAAAGAAGAAGTTGAAGTGGCGTTATCGAATCTTCCCGCAGGGGAGGCCGCTCTCTCTCTGATTCCTACTCTTCAAGCTGACGCTCTGCAACGAGCTCTAGAGGAATTCCAATCTTTGACTCTCAATGAAGCCGACTGCAGACATCGCAAAATCTCGTTGCCTACGTTCGCGAACGGGTAATGAAATATGGCGTGACGATCAAGCCTGCAATTTACAGATACTTTAGACAAAGATGAAATAAATAAACGAACATAGAAACAGTGGTTAGAGATGAAAATTATAACAATCATTTGTTTGATTTAATTCTGCAATAAACGAAGTAAATTGAAGTTTAATTAGGAACTATTCATGCAGATTGATGCGAAAGGCTCTGTTGGCTAGCGAGAACGGAGCAGCAGCTTCCGCGACTCCTGGCCAATTACTTGCCGGATGGCCCGACACGTGTCTGCTAATCTCAAGCTGGCTGGGTCACGTGGAAATCGCGAAGACTTTGTTGGACAAAGGTGCTTCGGTTGCCACGAGCGACAGCGACGGAAGGTATATGATTATAGAACCTCCAGTCTAATCTCAAGAGAGCAAGCTTCTCTTACACTGTTATTTTCAGGACACCGTTACATCTGGCGGCTTGCGCCGCGTCCGTGAAGATCGTGGAAGAACTGCTGAAGCATGGCGCGGATCCAGACGAATGGGATTTCGGCAAAAAGTGCACTTCCTTGCATTGTGCTGCCGCAGCGGGTTGCGTCGCCACCGTCAAATGCCTGATCAAGTCTGGGGCGGACCTGGATGCCGGATTGTCCGGCAGAAGTCCGCTTCACTACGCGGTACTAAACAACGCCGGGGATTGCGTCGAGGCTCTATTGCAAGCAGGTGCTTGTCCCAATAATCCACAGGTGCTCCTTTATCACCTCCAACTCATGCGCGAACTTGGTGGAAAAGTAATCGATTCGATCGATCAAGTTTGATCAAGGCTAAGAACCAGACAATTACTTTATACTGTTGTTACTGAAAGAACAAATTACTTTCCCACCAAATCAAGACATGTCTCTTTAAGAGACCACAGTCTTGTATCTACATGACAAATGAATCTGACTCTTTCTTAGGTTTATACAGAGACACCGTTGCACGTAGCGGCTAGCCTGGGCAACGTTCGCTGCACTAAGTTACTACTGTGTCACGGAGCAGATGTAAGGGTGCAACTAGGAGCAGCGAGGTCGACACCCTTGCACTTGGCGGCTGAAGAAGGCAGCGCGGAATGCACCAAATTGCTGTTGAATGCCGGCGCAGCCTGGGAAGCGAAGAACTCACGAGGACAAATGGCGATGCATCTGGCAGCGCTCGCGCTATCCGTGGAGACGTTGGACGTGCTGATAAGCGTCGGCGCGAATGTGAACGCAGAAGACGACGACGGACGCACACCTCTGCACGCTGCGGTCGCGAAAGCCTTGAGAGGCTGCGAACTAGTCAAGACTTTGATACAGGTTCGTAAGTGAATTGATTTACTAAAATTGAAGTGATGAAAATGAAGATAACGAAATTACTTTCGACTTCGTTTTGAAAGGCAGGTGCCTCGGTCAACAAGGCGGACAAATTCGGCTACACACCGTTGCACATCTCGGCCTTGAACGAGAGCTCGTCTATTGTGGTGATGTTGTTGTTCAAGGGTGCCGACGTCACGGCGCGAACGAAAGGAGGCGTCACCGCGTTGAGTTTTATCATACGACGTACACCGGACGTGTTACCGCGCTTCGTGGCACGATTAGATCAGGCAATCTCGCTACACGACCATGAGTTGGGAGACGTAGATTGCGAATTGAGACTGGATTTCAGACCGTTAGTGCCAGGAGGTCGAGGAGAGACAGACTTGATGCTCTGTCTAGTGGAAGTCGGCCAAGGCCATATGCTGAAGCATCCGTTGTGCGAGAGCTTCCTTTATCTCAAGTGGCTGCGCATTCGCAAGTTTTTCCTGCTCAGTCTGATTTTCCACTCGATCTTTGTCGCTCTTTTCACCAGTTACATCGGCGTTACATATTTATGGGATATCATGCGCTTCAACGGCATCCTCTTTTGGCCAGTACTAGGCTTCACTTGCATGCTGACCTGCAAGGAACTCTTCCAGGTCGCTCACGGCATCTGTTCTTACACCAGACGTTGGGAGAACTGGTTGCAGTGGAGCGTGATCTTGGTATCGTGCGCCGTTCTCATACGGCCGGTGCGTCCTTGGCAGAATCATGCCGCCGCGCTAGGAATTTTGCTAGTCTGGATCGAGTTGATGATGGTGGTTGGCCGCTTTCCCATGTTCGGCATCTACATACAAATGTTCACCCAAGTGTCCATTAACTTTTTCAAATTCCTCACGGCTTATCTCTGCCTCATAGTTGGTTTTTCTTTGGGCTTCAGCGTGCTGCACAAGAATTACAAGTCATTTGCCGACCCACTGGTTAGTCTACTGAAAACTGTAATTATGATGTCAGGCGAGTTGGAGTTTGAGGATGTTTTCTTCGACAAAGACTCGCCGCTGATGTACTCAGGTACGGCACACTTGATGCTGCTCAGTTTCGTTATATTGGTGACAGTGATCCTGACGAATCTTATGGTCGGTTTAGCCGTATCGGACATACAAGAATTGCGTAGGTGCGCTGGTCTCGATCGGTTAGTGCGCAGAGCCGAGCTGGTAGCTCATCTGGAGAATATGTTGTTCTCTAAACTATTAGATCGTGCGCCCACGAGGATAATAAAGATATGCAGAAAAGGAGCGTTGCTGTTACACCCGCCTTATCATTGCGCTCTTCATATTCGACCGAATGACCCGCGGGAGAAACGTCTCCCGCGAGAACTCATCAAGGCAATATATCGCCTGGTCAGTGAGAGGAGAACGAGACACGCGCCGCTGCAAAATACGCGCGTGGATTCGAGCCACGCGAGGCTCAGCAGAATGTACAGCAACGACAGCAATCAGCAGAAGCTGAACGAGCTGGTAACCGAACTGAAGAGATGTTCCTATAACATTAGCATGAAGCTAGATAGTCTGACCAACAAGGTGGAAAATATTGCCAGGGATGTAGATACGACGGTGCACTTACGCTGATGCCTATGTGCTCGAGTTGTTTGTAAAGTGGAAAAAAGACGAAATAGCAGGACCTTATTTATAATGAACATATAACAAATTTTAAAAACCTAACACTGACCTATTAGGAAAACTGACTAGAATCTGGTATTATTGAATCTTTAATATTTACACAGTACTTACCAGTAACCTGGTCTTATAACGCTTCCCAGATTGCAGTTGTATCGTGGAATACTCCGTCAATGTGTTCGAGAGCTTTATATCAGTAACCTTGGAATTGTAAACTACAGTTACATTTTCCTTCTGAGAAAGCTGCTTATTGACTGCGTGCAACAGCAAATCATTTTCAACTATATACGCCAACTCTTCGTGCAAATAATCTTCATTGAATGTTATCATAGCATCGGAACATGCATCCCAAACCTGCGAAAGAAACTTATGCTTTGTAAAATTTCTAATTTTGTAGCATATAGAACAGGAAATAATAAAAGCAGTAATAATCATAAAGATCCCAGTTAAAGATTACTTTTTAATTGTAATATGTTAAGTATTGTATAAAGCATACATTATGATTTATCAAGGTAGTAATCATTATAAAAAGATTACTTTTAAATATTCTAAATTATCTTTTGAATGATTTTGCATACTAATCTAATAACCATGTATATATATCCTCTTTCATTAGCATATTATTAGTATAAGTTTGCTAAAAATTTACTTTTTTATAATTCTTATTTTATAGTTCTAATAATAAAGGAAATATATAGAGCTACCTGCATTTTTTTAACTGGACAATAACGGACTGCCTCTATATGTTGCCATGCTCCCAAGCTAGACAATAAGATACGAGTCTGCTGATTAAGAGCGACAACACGATTGGAATACTGTTCCTGTGGTGTATACTCATGTTTATCACTACCTTCTAAAAGTAGAACTTTCTTGGCTTCTAATCTTCGATTGTTTGCTGGAAAAAAAATACAGAGGTCATTATTGAAAGATAATAAATTTTTATAATGTGAATAAATTTAGATAAGCAAGTTCAGTTTGTTCTTCTGAGCTATACTTTTCACAATTATCTTCTCTAGCTATTCAATAAATATTTTTGAATCATATATTTTGATTTATCAACTTAAATATAAATTATAACGGAAGAACCTAACCTATGCTACATGCCAACGTCGTGCCGACCATGCCACCTCCGGTAATAATGACATCGTAATTTTCTTCACTTTCCGCGGCAGTCGAGTAGTTTTTCTTTGACACTGCAACTGCATTAGGAATGACATACTTGTACTTTTGCAATAACGATGAGAAAAGGATGCGTGACGAAAACACTTTCTTGAGGACTACCATCTTGTATAGATCGATGTTGTACTAAAAAACTTGAGATCTGTTCCTTGTAGCTAACTAGTGCGTACTTTTGGATCTTAAAAAGAAACAAACATATAACTTGACTTGATGTAAAACTTGACTTGATGTATAACTTGACTCGATGTAAAAAAGAAAGAAAGAGAATTAGTACAATCTAGTGCAGCCAGTTCAATCTCAAAGAACTGATCATTGATTATTTTGACTGCACTTTTTCGCACTTTAACGAAGTATTTGTTTTTATATTCTTACATTCCGTTCGCGAAAAATTATTACATCTGTTCTCATAATAAAATTGACTTATTGTGGGAATTATGATCTTAAAATAATTAAATTTATAATATTAAAATAATATTTTATAAACAATAATAATAAAGTGCATCGATAGCCAACAATCGATCAAGATTACCGACCGATCGATACGAAAAAAGAGCTATCTTCAAAGTTAAAATTCAAATATTAAAATTACATGCACTCTCTATTGGATGGTAAAAACTGCATATTCAGTCGAAGCATCGCTTTTCGTATCGATGAGTTTCTCGACCGAACAGTTAAGTATTTTTTTATTTTGGAGTTCTCATAACCTTCTTTAATGCGAGTAATTGGTTAGATTATTGTACATATCTGAGATAAATTACTACCGGGTAGCTTCACTTTGAACTGAGAAAGCGAATCGATCGAATATTTGGCGCGCAACGCAACTATTCATTTCTGTATAGGGCGTTAGCTCTTCCACGACTTCACCATGACGACGGCGACACAGAGCCAGGTTGCATTGATTCTCCCGGGTAGGTCGGCAGCTAGTACGGCTGCCCAAAGCAACCAGTATGCCGTTATCTGGAAACCTCGACCTGGCCGTAAAAGCTCTGCTTCAGGGTCGAGTTGGAGTCGTACTTGGCTGATCACTGGAAGAATGAAGGTGATTAACAGCGAATCTATAAATAGAGTCTCGTAAAAGCTCTTTATCTTTCAAATTATGTTAAATTCTTTGACAAAACAATTTTTAATTTTATGAGATAAAGAAGCAATTGCAAATATATGTTTGTAATAGATAGTATCTGTAAGTATAAGTTAAGAGATAACAATGTATTAATTATACTTGAAGGATATAATTTTACTGGATTATTACAAAGCTGCATAACTTGTACTTACAATATCTTAGTGTTATAGTCCGATCTACATGCTTTATAACTTATGCTGATTGTACTTACCTGTACTATCATATAGGCAGTATGACTCTGTTGTATGACCCAATTATACTGCATCTGATATAGTAGCTTAGTTATAATATATTAGCTTAGTTTTATTATACTTTATCTACAATATCTTTTTAGGTACTTTGCTAGTAGTTAATTCGAAATATTAGCTAGAAAATAACGATGAATGAAAATTAAAAAAAAATTATCTGTTAATAGATGAGACATGACGGAACACAGAGGCACGTCCTTTTTTCATTCCTGCGTCAAAGTACCAGTAGATCCTTGTAGCCGACAACCAACTCCTTCATATGAGCGTCCTCGAGTGCCTAGAAGTCAAAGAATGGAGAAGGGTAAGAAGATCAACTTTGCAAAGAACGAGCAAGCCGCTATCGAAAATTCAGAGTCTTCGAGCCCGCGTGACACTCTAGAAAACTTTCTCGAGTTTCTGGAAAGCATACCGGACTACGGGCAGGTGCACCACCTGTCGAATGAGCAGTTCAAGCAGAAAGTGGAGTACTTGAGGAGGAAACAGCGATTGTTGTTGCAAAATCTGAAGAACTCGTTTGACGATACCGCCATCGTAGACAACCCGCCATCACGATTGTCGATCTCGAGAAACGACAGCTCGAGATCGAAAGACAAGCCGGACGTTGGCGATCTCAAGTTGAACGGCAAGAAGTGCTACCTGGAAGAGTCCAGGACCAACAGTCCAATACTGTTCCCTTCCGGCACCTTCGCTGGTCTCGCCGAGGATCAAGATCTGCTGACATATAGGTAATGTATTGATAATGAAAAAGATAGAGATGACACGGCTATTTATATATTAAAACTCCTGGTCTCGCTGTGGCTCTCTTGATTTATGATGTCAGAAGCAAGGAAATGCATGCTCAAAATTCTTATAAAGTACCTCAAAATAAAAAGATATATAAAAAAAATGACATTTGTGATCAATTAAACATACCTCAAAAATATACCAATAATATTTTCCTTTTGTTCTAACAATCAATATAAATAACCGTAAAATTAACATGATATATAATCTTCCTTTTCAACCTACATTTTCTCATTATTTAATTATATTAATTTTACGGTTATTTATTGATTGTTAGAACAAAAGGAAAGTGTTCGGAGTATTTAAGAGATATACTTAATCGTATGTCATCTTACTAACATATACTAATCCGTATGTCATCTTTTGGATATATCTTTTTATTTCGATATATTTTGTGTAAGAATTTTGGACATATTCTTCACTTCTGATGTCATGAATCAAAATAAGTCAGCAAGCCTTAATTCTCATAGTATTTCGATAATTTTGTAATTTAGTCCTACAAACATACACTGTCCTCTACAGACATCTGACGCTACTTTCAGATGTAGGGACAAAGACAAGGAGACGAAGACGATGCGCAACAAGGAAATATATTCGGCTAACAAGAGTTGGAGTACATGGAGCGAGTCGAAGAGCAATGACAGTTTAAACAGCGATGGCGAGGATAGTATAGAAACCAAGAGTTTGCCGCCTAACAACTCAAAAGAATGGCATCCTACGGTGCCGAAGCCGTTCAATTTCACACTGAGGTACATACGCATAAATGAATAATAAAGCTTCTAAAGGATATCTAAATGTTACATTACTGATTTCCTGTTTGCGTGTCTTAATTACGCATGTCTTAAACAGACTTACGTCTGTTTCAGAGAAGAGGCGGAAAAGTACATGACGGAAGTTGAGACGGCCATGCATACGAATCAAGATAACGAGAAAAAAAGTCCTTCGAAGAAACGACGAGTCAGACCAATTCCTATCACGTCCAAGATACCGCTTTACGATAAATTAATGGCTGAAAAGGAAGAACGGTAAATTTATTATCTATGCAATTTTTTCACTTTTGTAATCTAAAGGAGAATAAATCTTATATTTTATGTTCGCCTATAGCTTTGTAAATTCAGTTATATTATTACTATTACTTAATTAATTATTCTGTTTTGGTGTACAATTTACTAATTATTCCGTTTCTCAAAATATCTCGTGTGATAAAAATCCACTGGAACCTTAATATGTTCGCTAATAACATTACATATTTGTGACGCAACGATCTCTCACTAGAGACCGGCGTCACATATGTGTGACAACAAACATTTTTTTATTTATGTCCACATTATCAAACTAAGTCTGTTTTATACTTATGTAAAAGAAAATAATAAAGTAATGCGCGATGGGCTATGAGGAAAGTCCTTTAAATAAACCATGGTAGCGATCATATTAAGTTATAACTATTTTGTTTTTTTGTATATTTTCAGAAGTCGCATTGTGCGCGAGGAGAGCATGCTAAACTTGTTGTCCCAAGTGCGACCTTTTAAGTTAGAGTGCGATCGCCGTGCTTGGCGATCTTTGGCGAGGTCCAGTCCTGAACTCGGCGGCAAAAGCAGCCGCGCAAGCTCGCGCTTCAAGGCCAAACCGGTACCAAGAAACCTGTTTGATACTGAAATTTACGATCGCATGCTCGAGGACGAATATTACAGGTCAGCCTTGCCTTGAACTGTGTTTTTTGTATGTTATTTTCGAATAATTTAAATCGACATTTGCATGTGCATCTTTATGCTTTTTTAGCATCAATATCACGAAGACATCAAAGTTGTATCAATCGTCGTAGACTAATTAGAAGTTGCGTTTAAAATGATTAATCTAAGCGTGAGTCGTGCGCGATTCCAGGCAGCTCAAGAAAAGAATAAGGGCTGCCGAGCTGTTGAAGTCCTCTTCCTTGCCGCCGTCTATGGCGAGACGCGAACGAGTCAAGTCCGCGTGTGCGCATTTGCAAGACACATCGAAGAAGGACGACGACGACGAGCTCGCCGTAGATAACAGCGAATATTCACGACACATTGACACTCCCGCGATGTCCGACAGGGCCAGATCCGCGATCTCTATGTTGTCCTCACACGGAAGCAATCTAGCTGCGATTCTGAGATGTCAGGCCTCACGGTACTTCATTATTTAATTAAAAAATTACTGGGCGACTCGAAACTATCAGTGCTTCTCTCTCTAAAATATTCTAAAAATAATTAAGAAATTAGAAGTTGTATTTCGAAGTCATATATAGAAGAAATTTTTAGAAGTTGTATTTCGAATGTCATATATAGAAGAAATTTTTTTAATACGATCGACGATTTGGAGCTATTTACTCTATTTACAAAAGATAAATATACCATTTAATATAATGAAGATATAAATTTTTCAGAAGAGACGTTCTTTATTTGAAGAATTAGACAAACACAGCCAGACATTTTTAATCGCTTTAATTAGAAAGATTTTTATATGCGTAAATCACGACCGCAAATTCGTCGTAGAGAGAAATTGGAGCACGAGATACGGGAGCGAATGGAAGAGAAGCGGCGGGAACAAATGCTGAAGATCAGAGAGACGTTGATCGGTCGTAAGCCCGCGTGGAGGGCTTTGAGATCGGCTGCGAGGTACGCAAAGTCAGAATCTAAAAGTCTAAGTACTTGTCTTTCTCATTGTTACATATAATTGTTCATGTAATTTCGCTAAAAAAAACAAGGCACGATCACGAGAGGGACTTGGACTTGCGAGCGTCTCTTCGTCGCGATGAGGCGCGAGAACAGGCTGAACGTCATCGTCTTCAGATGGAGATAATGTTAGATCGCGTGACGCAAATACCTACCCTCTTTGAACGACATTCTCAGGTATTGTTTCGTTAACTTTGCCCGCTTAGAGTTATGCATATCTGTGAAAATTGCACAGATTTTTCAGATATATTTTATGCAAATCTCGCGTCCCCTAATGTGATGAACTTTGTAGAGCTTCCAGTCACTCGCGAAAATGCAGCAGAAAACTTCGCCGAAGAGTGTCTATCGGAAAAAGAAGAAGAAGAAGCCGCCGAAAAGACCTACGTCGAGCAGCCTGGATTCGTATCTGAGTTTCGTGAGTAACTACAGACCGAATTCCGGATCGTTGACTAGCTCTTCCGGAACTCTTGTGTCCTCAAGCCAGTCGTCAAAGTCGTCGTCCGCGTCACGAAGTTCTGATAAATCGGCGACTAAATCAGAAGTCTCGATGTCGAAGAAGAAGGCGGATCGTGGTCCGCTGAAGGTATCGATTAATGAAACGGCAGAACTGATTGAAGATCTTAACGATGAGAAATCATCCAGCGACGAGCGATCTCGCAGTGACGAACGTGAGGATGTATTGCAGAGCGACGACAACGATATCGCCGGAGAGTGAATTGTAGCGGTATTTTTATTTATTATGACATTTTACGTCAAATTTTTTTTTTAACCGAATATGTTCTCTAATAAATGCACAGGATTATCCTTAATGCACAGGAAAATCCTTAATCAAAATTCTATTGGACATTTTTTTCTACAATTTTTTACAATACTTTTTAAAAATATTTTTAAATATTTTTGTAACTTTTAGAAGTAACATGAAAAAATTTTAATATAGAGTAAAACTATATATAATATTAATTTATAAAGGAAACACTGTGGACTTCGGGAAATCTCGTATAATCGTGAGTGGCAAAAATTAATTTTATGAAACTTTTAAATGAATATCCTTTTCATAAAAAATTGATATATTGTAATAAAGGGTACAAACAACATGACATGTCATACATAAGTCGTAATCCATACATCAAAGCAGCACAAGAATAAAATATTTATTACACTCTGACAAACAGAGAACGCGATCTCTTTTTTTATCCATGATGAAACATACTTAACACACTCTTAAAAATGCAATGAAACAATTGAAATTAAATTAAACTAATCGTAACGTACAGATACCGCGAGATTGTGCCGTCTAATAAAATATAGATTAGACAAGGCACTGACAAAAAGACATTTCAGTCTAAAAAGAAATAATAATAATTAATCATCCAGAAAATTTTTTGCTAACATAGAAAGCTCATGAACTACTTTTCTGGACATTGAGTTGTTCAGTCGGTCATTGAGGCTACTCCTGCGGAATCTTTCGAGATCAATGTTGTCTATCGATTCTATTAAACTATGTACTCTATAAGTTACGAACTCTACGTAGATCTAAGTCTTCATTGCAGTTCGCAGACATCGTTCACTGTCAAGAGCGTGTCATGAAATACAGCAGAAGATACATTCTTCCGCGAAGTTTCAGCGACACTATGTACTCTAAACTCTTATAGTGTTCAGGATCCAGTCCATATAGTAGCTGACTCTGGTGTATACTCCAGGGAAACCAGCGGTACCGCACTGTTTCAGACCATAGCTGACCACACCGTACTGAACGATACGCACCTTATTGTTCACATTTGGAGCATTATATATAGAAGGAGCTTGAAGAGGTCCTCCGCTATCACCCGCGCAAGAGTCTACCATGTCCATGCCACCGGCACACATTTGCTTGTACCAAATTTCCACAGTGTTCTTGTAGACTTCAGCGCATTGCTCGTTAGTCATCAATGGCAACTTTATCTGCAGGAGGTCCTGGCTACGCGGACCAAATTCTGTTGCACCCCAGCCTGTCACTATAGCCTGCGATCAGAAACAATGGTTTGAAACGAGAGAGCCAAAAAAGCAACTGTCTTCTCTAAAAAAAAATCGTACCCAGTAAACATAGTTTATTGGGGGATTATAACTTTGATGCGATGTTATTGTTATTGTTTACTGGAATTTCGAAAAGGACAAAATTACTGAGGAGAAATCCTAACCAAGAGATATCTTTACCAAGAGATATCCTTACCAAGAGATATCCTTACCAAGAGATATCTGAAGTCACACTAAAAGTCTTCGACTCGAAGAGGCATAATTGTGTAAGTTTTAACTCTTATTTATACTATTTTATAATCAAGAATATTAAATGGAAAAATCATGTACTAAGAAAGTATATTACCCTTTTCTGACTTAGTCTCGTCGCGCTGCCGAAGGGTAAACAAATGGGTCTGGCGTTGAAAGGCCTGAAATCCACGCTGCTATTCAGCCTAATGAGCGCAATATCATTTTGCAACTTCGTTCTCGTATATTCAGGATGAAAATGGACACTCTCGATGCCAAAATCTTGATATTTCTCAGCGCACAGGATCTCGAGTCCATTTTTGTCCCTGTCGCAGTCGCGCTCTTTGCTTATGTCGTGATCACCCACTCTGACTCCTATTAGCGTAAGGTCTGAAATATGATTATATATAAAGTTACTTTTTACAAGAAGCAAGACAACTGTTTGTAATTGTAATTTGTGTATTTATTCTAATTGTAATTTGTAACTGTTTGTAAAGAGTATTCATTTTTCGTAAACGTTTGAAAGAAAAAATGGGAAAAAATCACAAAGAGTTAAAAAATGCTTCTGAAAGAGTGTGTTAAATTCTTTTTTTTTTCTTTGTAAATGATTGTACCTTTTAAACCTTTGTATTGTTTAAAGTCATTGTGTGTTTTTCTTACCACCGGGTAATGTTGTGACGCAATGAGCGGCTGTAAGGATATACCGCTGGGAAATAACCGTGCCGCCACAACGGAATTCTGGTCCTCTTCCAGTCTCGTATGCAATGAGTGCCATCCACGGATATTCGATGACGCCCGTTTTGTTGCCGCCGATTAATTTTTCCTGGGTTATGTGTCCGCACACTTGGTGATTCAGAAGACGCAAATTCGGATGATTGACCACATTCGGAGGATCGGGAACACTCGCTTGTACCATCGTGTCCGTCGTCGGAGTTGGTACTGGGTTTGTTGTCACCGGCTCCGTATTCTGCGAAAAATATTTTATGCAACATAAAATTCAGTTTTTTCTCGTATAGAAAATACATATTCACGGTATATACTTTTACGTAACACATCTTGGCATGTATCGCGTCAACATATTTGCAAGCTACATCATTATCATTTGATAATTATATAATTCTAGGAGTTGTAACGAATGCCGATATTATCGTTGCACTTAGTCGAAATTAGGAAAATTCATTTGCAAAATGCATGGACCATTATTAAATTGAAACAGCACATTCAAATGCGCTGATTTCTTCAGAGAATATATTTTTCTTCAAGATTAAAATGAAAAAATTCTTATTGCGATCTCTTTAATTTCATTATTATGATTATATAGTTTTATATACGATATGGACGAAATTTCCTATGTATTTCAGATCTCAACTTGAAACTTAGGAATCCGGCGAATACAGCGGAATAAAGATGAAGCGGAAAGTGGATGTGAACGGCCAGAGAAACCTGTTCCCTGTTATTTTAGACGAATATCAAGCGAACTGTGACGATGTATCCACAACGGATCATCACGCATATGAACAACGTGAGAACGGTATGTATTCAATAAACAAAAAACATTAAACCAACATCTTGAAATATTGATTGTATATATATTTTTTGAACGTGTTTTCGCTTAATATTTTAAAAATATTTCAAAAATATTGTCGAGAATAATATGATCTCTTTAAATATTGCAAAAATATTTTAGAAACATTTAAGTGCCGATATTCATGGTGATATTGATACAACGTTAAAAACTATATATTAGAAAATGTTATATGTTATTAAATATTATTGTAATAATGTTCTTTCAATAATTTTTTGCTTACTAAGTATGTTTAATTTGATATATAAACATTCATGAAGAACAAAAGAAAGAAAGTCTCATGAAGACATGAATTTCTGTGAAAATCCATCTGTAATACTCCAACATGAGTTCATTTAGGAAAATAACAATTTAAGAGAAAAAATATAAAAATCTATAGGTCTTGATAGAAAGTCATAATAATTCATTTGAAATATATGTTTTAGAAATACTTCCCATGAACATATTTTTTCCCTTTCAAAATTCTATTTTTATGATTTTTAAGTTTAAATTTTTTATGGTTTTATATTTTTTATAGTTTTATGGTAATGATTTTATGGTTTTATAGTTTGTATTTTCTTATTTTCTATTTTTCTTTTTTTGCATCTCAGCCGTTTACCTTAAAATAATATTCTTATTTACAAATGTTCTCGTTAAATTTAGCTTAGACAATTCAGTGGAGCAATTACCTGATTAATACAACAGACCATTGGATAATTTCCTTCAAAACCGCATTGCGCATTCCTGAGGGTTTCCAACGTTTCCTTCGGTAGCGGTCTCGGACCTCTTAAGATTTCAATCAAGGACGGACAATCGCGAATACTTATGCAAACGGCACGTTTATCTGCACACGTATTCTCTGCAACGGTAAATAATTGTTACAACATTTATCAAAATGTCCGAATGCATTTTATTGCGTTTCGTGATGTAGCGTAAAAAATTCTCAAGGAACGTATTATCAGATACGTTTCCATGAAATAGTTTAAGACAAAGGAAAGCTTCATCTCGATACGAACATAAAATAAAATCATATAAGCATTTTTTATAAGAAATAAGTTGTGTCAATCTAAATCGAAATCAATATGAATTGATATGAACGAACAATCGAATTGATGTAAAATTCAAGAAACAGAATTGAAATTACTCACGCGCATTGATTATCCTTAGAATAAAGAACAGGAAGAGCAGACTAATGGACTTCATGATTATTTCTGGTATCACTGTGTGTAGTCCTTCACTAGTCTCGAAATACGTTTCACGTAGATTTTCTTCTCTTCTTCTCTAGTTTTCTCCTTATTTTTCTCTGTCACTAATTAGAAAGAGTCAGCGCGTTTCGCCCCGAAGGTTATCGCCGACTAATGCGTTTGAAATGGAGAACTCACACTCTCGTAAAAACCAATAGTCGCGTTCAGCACCGATTTGTTATAAAGCCAAGCTCCAGACCAATACCAGGCTTGTCCAGTACTGATCGGTCGTCCGCAAGTTGGCTACCAACTAGTCCCTCCGCTACCTGTGGAGCTTAATAAATTGTCGGATCCAGTCAAGTAGTAGGGGAAATCGCGGTGATGATCGTGAATTCGTTGTGATAAACCGACCATTAGTTGGAATGCTAAGCACGGAGTGCTTAGTTGCGGTTTGCGATTTGCGTCATTTCATGAAAGTCGGAAATACACTAGTCAGCTTTTTTACAGAAGAAATTCACTTCGCTTACATTGTCCTTATCGTTCTACTTAAATTAAAAAATAACTATTTACGATTGATAATCCAATTGAGAACACGACTTGACTAAGGATTAATTTTGAAATCATTTGTGAAATTACTTTGCGAGTTGAGATCTCGCATAAAATAACTGATTGACATCGACGTCATACGCGTTATATCTTCTCCAAGAATTCTTTAGATAATGTTGTTATGCGTATAGTATTTATCATATTATGTGCGATAGTCGTCATTAATTTGTAGGATAGTTATAAGAAAACATCAATACGTTCCACCAAATCTACCGCCCTCAATAGAAAAATCGTCACACAATCGTCCACAAATTTTTTTGTTCTTTTAATCTTACATTCATTATTTATGTTAACGATATTTTGAAATTTGTCAACAAGCGGGGAAAAACTCTATATTAAAGCTTTATTATATAATTCAACACTACTATCTAAACTATGCATTTCTAATTATCTATTATTGACATCAAGGCACAATTAAATGTTGGATGTGTCGTCGCGACGATGGTTCTGAAATGCCGTGAAATTGAAATCGCTGCGATAGCACCGTCGAGATCAATTTCCGGCGTACGATGATAACCCTGAGAGCAAATAACGATTCAAAGATCAAACATATTTTCAAGATCCGTCTATTATTCAACTTCGCGTGATAACATCATTTGCAATTCGATGTTATTTTCAGAAAAAGACAATATTACCAGGAAGTGGTAAACAATCATTTTATAAGAATTGGAAAAGTAAAAGAAGTTACAAAATACCGCTGCAATGTTTTATACTATGTTTTACAGACGATAAGTATTTACGTAACATTTTTCAAAAATTGCATCACACCATGATAACAAGGATAAAGAGAAGATAGATGATAATGGGAAGAAAATGAATATGGTATAATAATAGATATAAAATATATCCGTTATATATGGAAACAAAATGATATATATATATATATAAAATAAAAATTATAGAGTAGATTTTTGGAATAGATTTTTTATTTCTTAAAACCGCTAGTTTTAAAAAGAATACTTAGTATTTACACGCTGATAATTTTGTAAGATAACATTTTTCGCAATATTAACTTGACAATTAATTTGCGTTCAATATTTCAAATAGAAAAGTACAATCAATCGCACTTTTATATTTGAATAAAATTCATTTCGCTAAAAATGTTTAAAAGTATTATTAGAAAATATATCATTGTAAATGCAGGTAAGATATGAGCAATATCTCTTTAGTTCTGCACACTTCTCATGTGTCTCAAATATGTATGATTATATAATTAATATGCAATTTACAGTATATTCATGAGTATATTCATGGGGGAAGACTTATAAAATATCAATAAAAATAATTATTTCTGCAAAAGATGCAACGTTTCTCAGACTTAAAATACATTTACATACTTAAAATACATTTCGCACAACATACATTGTTGGTTTCTTGTGAGAATTGGACAACATTAACAAATGACTTTCTTCACAAATCACATTCTTTTTACGTATATAATATTCATTAATAAATGTTCTGCTTTACGCTCTTATTTTACTAAGAATCCAGGGAACGAACTGGACGACTTTGGTGTACACGCCGGGCCAGCCCTCCATGCCGCAAGGTGACGGACCGAAGGATACTACGCCTACAGCAGTCCACCTGCCGGTCCCATCGACCATTCTCTCGACGGCCATCAAAGGACCACCCGAGTCGCCTCTGCACGAGTCTTTGCCGCGCTGACCACCCGCGCAGATCTGCCCGGATCCCAGTCTGACGCCTGCGACACCGTAGGTCTGTTCACACTCTTCCTTAGACGTCAGTGGCAAAGATAATTTCAACTTGATATTGGAAGATGAGCGCGTCTCCGTCTTGCCCCAGCCGGCCACGAAAAGTTTGTTGCCAATAGATGAGTTGGTCGGCAAGCAGATAGGCTTGATGAACTTGGTGAACGGCACATCGTGGCTGAGACGCAGCAGCGCGATATCATTACTCTGATCCCTAGACAACGGCCGATAGTCCTCGTGAGCGATTTGCTCCTCGACACCTATGGAGATGGGATCGTCGGAACAGTACGTGGTTTTCTCGCTGTCCTTGACGCAATCGTTCTCGGACTCGGTGTCGTACTCGCCGAGGCGAACGCTGGTCAAACTCCAACTGGGCGGCAGATCCTTGCCTTTGATACAATGAGCAGCGGTGAGAATGTAGCGCTTGCTGATGAGCACGCCACCGCACGCCGTCGTTCTACCGTTAGCTGTAATTAAATCGGTCGGAATAGATGCATGAAGAAAACTATACAGTTAGTAGAACAGATCTAAACAGTTAGCGGGAACAACTATAAGTATCTTATATTCGTTGTTAAAATATCGGAGGTAGTATCTAAAGCCTACTCACGTTTCTGATATTCCAAGAGCGCCATCCAGGGGAACTCATCGAGCTCGGTACGCTCACCGCCGTAGATCCTCTGCGACAGATCACGGCCACAGACGCTTGGCAAATGAGGATTACTGGCTAGGTTGATCATGGCAAGGTTTTCACCATTCTGCGACGGAGGTGGATTCGATGGTGTACCAGGGTTCGTCTCGGTGCCGCTCGGACGAGTGTTAACGTTCGTATTACTATCAGTAATGCAGCACACCAACGGATTCGAGCCTTCGAAACCGCAGTGGTTCTGTCTCAGATAGGAGATGGCCTGCTCACGAGATTGCTGCAGGATGGTTGCCACCATCGGACAATCGCGCGCGAGTATGCATGTACCCTGTTGATTGTTTACCACGCATCCTCGTTGACCGTTTCGCTGGTATTCTATGAGAAAAAAAAGAACGGGAGATTTACATTTAGTGGAATATTATTGCAACCTTGACTTTTTTAACAAGGAAATCTTTTTTTTTTATTATAATATCGAGTTTATATGTAATTTTTTGCCATTTTTTTCTAACAGTATTTCGAATGCTATGCACCAGGAATTAGCTTTATCTTTACATGTTAGAAACAATTTGTGAATCCCAAAGCGACGCGATACGCATACTTGAACAAAGACAATCCAACGTATCTTTTTCCATCGCGCGTAGTGACTACATCTGTTCGTTATTTCTAGTACTGGTCATTAATTTGATGACGTAACGTAAATAATACAACGTACAACTCGAGAGACGCGATGGAAGACTGGTACCTGACTTTAGTTTCCGCAGAAGCGCGTCATAAACAGATAACTAATAATGTCGTAAATTTGAATAATTGCAGCGACTTATCGATTATTGAAACTGAATATGAGAATGTTATGATTAGATCAAAACTTTAGATGTATGTGTGTGATTAGCGATTGTGCATGTATATGCTACATTGACACAAATTATACTTGTTTTTTCTCTTGTAATATGTATAAAATTACAAAATAACTACAGACAACTCTAGTTTCTAGTAAATATATTCTTGTTCTTCGTTCTTTATTTACAATAAACTAATTTGAATCAACAACCTTGATGAGTCAACTCCATCGATATTCTCTCCAAAAACCCAAGCCATTCTGAACAACATATAAATTTAAATGATGTAAAAAACAGAAGACTCTTTAGAAGATTAGCATAACTTCTGAATAGCAACTGGATTTCAGGAGCACGAATGATTATATAAAAATTTATCAGAGAAGTCATATCTCATCCAGAGATAATCCACAATATAGAAGAGAGAGAGAAAACAACTGTGTGTAAAGATAAGTAGATCTTAATAAATCGCTGTTGGAGCTAATCGCTAATCCAACACTCATGCACGTTAACTGATACTTGTGTGCGTATTTTAAAAGTTTTATCACTTACGTGCATCGATGCTGACGATCAGCAACGCTAGAAACTTGAAAATCATCAAGAAGGTCGAACGAGACATCTTCGATACTAATTATTCAACAAGTAGCCAATTGAAGACCGTGAAGCGATCAGTCACTTTGATAGTCAATCTTCTCTAAGAACTCGCTTGATTTCCGCAGCTTCCACTGTTTTATGGCCGTCGCTCTTAAGACCAGGACATCGACTGACAGTGGTGTCCATGATAGGAAGAATTACCAATACCAGGGTCAACAACTATCCCCTCCATCGTCGCGAACTTGTCGCTGGCTAATTAGCAGGGACGGACTGATCGGGGAAATGATTACCAGGAAAGATTCATATTCCTATCGTCAGGATCATATATTTCGCGAAAGGAGGTAAAAGACGCGTGTTCTTTTTTTCTTTGAGAATTATTCTACATCATATTAAAAACTTGTTAAGATTTCTATTTTCAGACATTGTAATTTCTTCATTCAAATTAGATCATAGTAACCGATGGAATATATTTGAGGGTAACTGATGTCATTCGAAGATTCGATTGATGTTATTGATGTCGATTCGACATTACGCTGGCCCATTGGGATTTCCCCAGTGAGTTTACGATCAGTGCGCTCCTGGTTTGTTTACTGGTCTTTTCTCTTTTCCGCTTCTGATGTCAACAACTAGTGTTTAGACTCGTATAATTATTTAAAAATCGTAGATTTACACAAAGAGATAAACTAGCTTTGCTTTTCCTTGTATAATCCTGTACGATCTAGTATAAAACTCGTGTAGCTTTTTATATTCATATGAATTACGATTATCATCGTAACCGATTATCATCGGTCATTGTGTATATTGTTTTTTATTTATTAGTTTTTCGTGAATTTGACGTAAAATAAATACGAGGTATTTCTCAAGAGACACGGAAACTCGTAGGGGTTCCAGATGATCGCAATGCGTCACTGTTCAGGTACGCTCTTTTCGCAGAGTTTTCCTCCTTCCTTTCATGATGATGTGATTTGAAGAACCTGTTCTTAAGGATCGCGTTGTCCATGACGATGTCATGATATTAACAACGGATTGAGAATTCATAGAAAGTGTCTTGACGTCATATCGATTCTATCATCAAAAATAAAAAAAATTAAGTGAATAGAATCGAGATCACAGTCTCGATCACAGTTGAAGAGATATCTAAATAAATTGTAAATAATCGCGCCTTCCTTGGATGTTTGCATAAGAATGGTCCGTAATAATTATAGGTTCTCCATTACTTAAAAGCTCTACATTACTTATAATTAAAGTTTAATGTGATTTTTTTCCTTTCTAACGTGCTTTATTACGCAGAATGCGTCTCTGTGGATGCGTGTTCGCGTGTGTGTGTGTGTCTTCATGTCTGAAGAGATAAACAGAAAAGATATATCGCGAAACCATCGTGGTTTTGGTCACTGCGGTTCTCTCGTTTCTCGGTATAACGCGTACAGTTTCTATTATTTTGCATTCGATCTCGTTAAAATTATGAAAAAACGAGTGATCGGTCGCTCTGGCGTGTTTCCGCATAAAATGATTCAATTGACAGACAGAGAAAAACAAGATTAGTGATATTGCGCGTTCATACTTGACGTACTGCAGATCTAGCGAAACAAATGGAAACACCCTGACTTCCCCGAGTGAATGCGTTACATATGACGAATCCGGCGGATAAAACTGGTATTGCGGTCTCGCGCTTCCACGAGGAAATGACTGCGGAGGAATTTCAACGGATCTAATTAAATTCAGATAATTCAATGAAAGTAGAACGTTTAATTAATTCCCACGTGTACGCGTAGCTAAATTAATTGCTTTCACGAGAAAACCGAATGATTGCGAACGTGGCTTCGATCATTACACATGGGGAATTCTCGTGAGAGATCAGGCAATTTCTCATGACTCTGATTTTTATGGTTGCAGAATAATTATCTCTGCAAATGAATGAGATATGGAACTATGGAACGGAAAATCCTGTGATTATCTTTGATTTGCAAGCATCGTGTATGGTAATTGCAAAAGTTGCAAGTTTTTGTTCGAAGGTCTTTATTTTAGCGACTAGTCCTGCTAATTAATTATCTCTACGAAATCCAAAATTAAACTACCATCTTTGTCTCAAATATGTATAACGCATCATTGTTTTCCTGAATTTACAACTTAAAAATATTCTGCGAATACATTTTCCATGTATTCATGGAATATGTTTCTAACAAAGATCGCTTATATTAAAGCCCCAAATAGAAGCAGTTTTTCTTCTGTCTGTCGCAGTCTCATCAAGATACAGCAAATAGTATTTCGTTAAACAGACTATAATCTCGTTTTCAGCGCAACTGAGACGACTCGGTCTCTCTCACGCGGAGATGTGATCCAGAATCCACGTGGTGTACATGGTAATCTTGCTATAAACTGCGGGTGTCGAGGAGCCACCACAATTTTTCGCGCCGAAGGAGACGACGCCGACGAAGTAGTATCTCGGCGGACCATCTTGGCTTATCACTTTCACCAAAGGCCCGCCGCTGTCGCCGCCGCAGGAGTCTTCGCCGAGAACACCGCCCACGCACATCTGTTTGTCGCCAATGTCTGCGTAGCTCCTGAAGGACATCTTGCATCTGTTCGTATCGACGATCGGCAGTTTCACCGTCTGCAGGATTATGCTGGGCATCGGGTCGTCTGTGAATCGATTTGAACGAACCGACTTGTAATCAGAACGACAGTTTTATAACGGGTTAACTAGAGGAGTCGTACAGCACAGAAATATCTTTCTATAATAATCGGAAGAGAAATTAACGAAAAGAGCAAGCTGCTTCGCGATTCATTAAAGTCCGTTCGTGCTTTTAAGCTGATGCTATTCTCGCACTATTTTCATTGCAAGGGTAATAACGAATATGGTATTTAAACAGGAAATATGACTCTTGCTATTAATACACAGACATCCGTGAAAATGCCTTACTGATATCGTATATCCCCCAACCAGCGACTTCCGCCATCTCGCCAACAAAGTCCTTCGTCAGGAGTTGACCACTCATCATGCATATCGGCCTCACGTGTTCTGCATATTACAACAAAAAATTAATTTACTTTCGGGAAACCGACAACTGACGTCGATCATAACCGCACAAACTAGAGAAAGCCCCTAACCTGTTCATCGAAATAATACGCGGGGATTTTATCTGCTTCAACAGATCAAAGATCACCGGAGACTTGATCGGAGAGATTGTTATACATCTTCTTACTGCTAATTAAGACCAATGGATGAAAATTTCTCGCGAATAAAGTAGCACTTACCGTTATAAATTGCTGGTTTATTTAGCCGTATAATAGCTATGTCATTTCTATACAACGGCTTATCGTAATCTTCATGGATAATTATCGTTTCCGGCAGAAAATCTTGCACCGGTTTCGCGCAGTAGCCATTCTCACAATCAGGATCGGTCAGGGTGTTGTGCTCACCCACGCGAATTCCACTGACCTTGAAACTTAGAAGAGGCATATCTCACTATAGCATATAATAACTGAGCTGTTATATTAAAAAGCTCGTAAAGAGAAAATACAAATAAACAAATGTAATAACGTAATTTATACACTCAACTATGCAATGATTGTGATGTCAGCGCAAAAAATATAATTATATTTTTACACAAAATGTATTTTTGTGCGTATAACGTCAAATGTGTAAAATCAAACGTGTGTATTATGTCAAATCAATAATTAATAATTGCTTGTTATTTTAGGTCTCTACAGTCGATGAAGATTTTTTCAATCGACAAAAGTTAAATGTTACAAATGTTTAACGAGCGATTGGGTATGTGTTGTGAAGGTGTTTTCCCCTCTCTCTCTCTCTCTCTCTCTCTCTCTCTCTCTCTCTC